CCTAGTCCTAAAAATTACGGGAAATCAGTGGAGGGACCTGGCCTGTTACCCTGTTTTGCCTGATGGTCACGGGGCCACTGACAGGACAGATTTTCCTCACCACCCTGCCCTGCTGGCCTCTGGCATGGTGGGACTGCAACCCCTTGCTGAGGTCTTTGCTCAGACTACATTGTGGTTGCCTTCAATGTTTGGCTCATCTCTCCTTACGGAAGAGCCCTGCTCTTTCTGCCCCCCAACCATTGTAAACAACTTCTCACAATCCTTTTTCCAGAGAATATATTTCCCACTAGACATAACTCTAATTCATGGTCATTGTCAGAGATAATGATTTGATTCAAATTGTCTGAGTTCCTGTGCTTTTTTGACAGAAAATAAGTGTAATGTCAAAAGTGACAGAGCTCACTCCTACAACAGCTGGTTTCCTGATACTGATCCCATGAAGCAGTACTTTCTTGAGGTTTGTTTTTACAACCTGATAGCTTGCCTTAACTTAGTACTGCGGGACACGCAGGCTTAACTCTCTATTTTACAAAGTACATTTCATTGAATGCATTTCCTGTCTACACTTACTTGGTGCCAGCTTGGGTTCCTTTGAATGTTTCTGCAGGAAATCATTTGGAGATGGCACTGCAACTTTTGCTGGCCCCATAGTTTTCCACTTGGATTTATTTTTCTCTGCTTCATGTTTCACAAATGTTCTAAATTTGGATATAAACCTTAGAGGTTAAAAAATAACCATAAAGAAGTTAAGGGTCAGAGAAAGTATCCCAAAGTTCTTAAAAGAATATACATTTTTGCAGTAGTTCATGGCAAAAGCCTAAGCTGTTATTTTTTAATCCTCTCTCCCAAATAAAGGCCATCCATGCTAAGGCTAAACACAGTACTGCACTGACAAATGGGTTTTCTGGCTCTTAAGTTAGCTTTCTTCTTCCTTCTGCTCTTGTGTCTTCAAGGCCGATACTACCACACTTCAGGAAATGGCTCCCAAATATAAATACTGAACACAGACATTCTGAAACTCAACAAAACCTAAATTTTGGAAATCAACTGCTTTGAGTAGTGCTTGCATGAATTCATTATAGCACATGGTGTGATTCTTGGGGTGTCCTGTGCAGGGCCAGGAGCTGGACTCGATGATCCCAATGGGTCTCCTCCAACTCAGCATATTCTGTGATTCTATGAGTCTGTGATTTATGCTTGAGAAAAGATGTCAAATACAGTCAAGAATTGGACAGAATGTCTTTGATCAGCATTTTTTCTTATTACTGTCCACTGTATCACTGTCTCAGTGTTCCTGTTGAACCATCTGTTACAGACTATAATGACACATCAGATGAGATGGGTCACTGCTCCAAAATAGCACAGCACACTATATATTTCTTATATTGCACAGATCCAAACTACTGCCCTGAACAATTGTAATCAGTGGTGGGTTTTGCACTGAAACAAATTATGCAAAAATCAGTAAGGGCTCAGACATGAAAAGCTCTATGCACATGGTATGCACACACTGCTGTTTCGGTCTAATGGTGCATATGGCATTGCTACTTCTGCTTTAATCAAAATCTGCAAAAGAAGCCAAATGCTGATCATTAGCTGATTAGCAACATCTTGCCTCTATCTGAAGGGCTGAGCTGGCACAGATGTTTGCCTGAGGGAGCAGAACTCCTTGCTCCTGAAGCGAAGGCTACCTCACTGTACCTTCTAAAATCTGTCCATCTTTACGAAACATGTCATAATAATTTATGGTAGACAAAAGCTGATGAAAACCTGCTCTTCTTTTACAGAAAAAACATGTTTATGAAAAAAACTATACCACATTTTCAGGTAATGAAACCCCACCCATTTTATTTTATATAATTATATTATATTGTTGTATTATATATTATTATATATATTTATATATTACTATATATTGCATATAGTGCAACCTATTTTATGGAAACACTAAAATAAGAAGAAAGAAATCATGTAACACTGGGCCAGTGAACGTGTGTTATAGGAGCAACACTGATAAAAGCTCTTGTAGGTGAGCTGCAAATGTCCAATACATGTAGTTGTACTTATGATCATAACATTAGAACATGTTAGAGGACTTGATTAAAAATGTGGAGTTGTTCTGTGTTTTGGAGATTTGGTCTCCAAAATCAGAAAGAGGATTATGTACATAAGAGTACACGTAATTCCATAAATACCTTTAACTGTAAAGAATGAGGTTTTGTTTAGTTTTTTCTGTTAAATTCACAGCAAACAGCTACAGACAGGCACAAATCCACAAATGCATAAATTATTGAATTCCTCACCATTTGCAAGGAGTGGCATTGTAGGCACACAGGAGAAAAAGGCACTGACTTTATGAAGAGTTTGACCTAGTGGGGCTCACAGAGACTTGGAATGAGAAAATGAATGAGAAGACACTGAGTTTGTTACATATTGCTATAAGGTAAAGATAGCTTCTGTAGACAGCTATGGGCATTCTTTTGGACAAAGAAATGTGGCAGTTGTTTCTTTTCAGTGACTTTTCAGGCCAGAGAAGTGCCTAAGTATGTCACACACCAATATCATAGGTCAGACCCTCATAGGGTCACAAGAGTGTTGCAAGGAAGGAAAGATAGTTATGGGAGACTTCAGAATCTAATCCTTCATCATTTGGCAAGGTGAAAAATGACAATACATCTATAAGAAGACAGAAGAAGACAACACATTTTCCTAAAGTGTCACCTTGGGACACCAAAGTTGGGGAAAATGAGGAAGCTTGCTGTGATTTCATGAGCAGTAACTCGTCAGTTGAGAGTGAAATATGTATGATTTCATTTGGGAAAAGAAAACAACATAAAACCCACAAACCCCCTAGATTTTGTATGCATTAGTTGAAACTGGCCAAATTATGCTCTTAACAAGGTCTGACACTGTTGTTACCAGCTGAATATTTGTCACATTGTAAAGCAAAGCGGGAAGTGAGGAGACAACAAAAGTTAATGAGATCAGAAGGGGATTTAGTCAGATTATATCCAACCCAAGGATCACCTTGCCTAAACTGAATCTGATGGTCATGGAGTATTCAAATCCCTGAATAGTATTAGGACAAGAATGGATTTAGTGTGTGTGCTTTGCCATACTGTCCTTTCACCTTCCTCTATCTGTCAAAAAGTATCTCCCCCCAAAAGTATATCCATTCACAATGGAAACAAACAAGCAAACAATTCTATTTTTACATGGAGAAGATTCAGAACTAGGAATCTCACAGGTCTGAATCCTTTTACCTGAAAAGGGATAACTATCTTTGTTCTAATGAGTGTCACTGATACTTCTACTCGTTTTAAAGCTATTGAGTCATGACCTACATTAAACTTCTACTAAAGATCACTAAGTGTACGTATTGGGTTTGTGTGGTGAGGTTTTGATAGCAGGGTGGTTACAGAGGTGGCTTCTGCGAGAAGCTCCTAGAAGCTTCTTCCATGTCCGGCAGAGCCAATGCCAGCCAACCCCAGGACGGACGCACTGCTGGCCAAGGCCAGGCCAATCAGGAATGGTGGTAACGCCTCTGTGATAACATATTGAAGAAGAAAAATATCCTGCTCCGATTTTGTTAGTAAGAAATTCAATTAATATACAGAATTCAAGTCTGGTTTGCCTCTGACAGTATTTGCTGAGTGATTTCTCCTGGTCCTTACCTCAGCTCATGAACCTTTCACTATATTTTCACACCCCCTGTCCAGTTGCAGAGGGGAGTGATAGAGTGGTTTGGGTGGGTGCCTGGCACAACAGATAACTGTGTTACTACCATGTAACAGTTTCATATTATTGGGGACTTCAAGAAAACCTAACATATTTACTTAAATATAGGCAAAAGCCTTTTTTATATTTTTAAGGTAAGAGGTGAGAAAGAGAAACAATTTCAGAGTCAGAACACTGTCAACCTGACACACAAAATATGGAAGTGGGGCACTGAGAAAAGTAAATTAAAAAGCCCAACTTTTATTTAATTTTTATTTTTATTTTATTTTTATTTTAATTGTCGAGAAGTTGTTGTAAGTGCAAATAACAAAGGCATCTCATGTTCCTCTAGGCATAAATTACCTTTGTAAATTATCAATGAACAAGATGACATTGAAGACACTAAGCTGAATCATCAGCTCATGGAGCAGGCTGTAAACTCTCAGATCACAGAACTACAGAATCAACTGGGTTGGAAAAGACCTCTGAGACCATCCAGTCCAACATATGACTGAACACCACCATGTCAATTAGGCCATGGCACTAAGTGCCATGTCCAGTCTTTCATTAAACTCCTCCAGGGATGGTGACTCCATCACCTCCCTGGGCAGTCCATTCCAGTGTCTAATCACCGAAAAATTTCTACCTAATGTTCAACCTAAACCTCCCCTGGTGCAGCTTAAGACTATGCCCTCTCATCCTGTCACTTGTTACCCATGAGTCAGGAGAAGAGGTCAACCCCCACCGGGCTACACCCTCTTTTCAGGCACTTGCGGAGAGTGATAAAGTCCGCCCGGAGCCTCCTTTGCTGCGGGCTAAACACCCCCAGCTCCCTCAGCCGCTCTTCACAGCACTCGTGCTCCAGACTCTTCGCCAGCTTCGCTGCCCTCCTCTGGACACGCTCCAGCACCTCAACGTCCTTCCTGATGTTAGCTAGTGATGCCTTAGGAGGAGCAATAACTGTTCAAAAACTAGTCTGCTTGGGGTCTTCTTTAATACCTCTTTAGCTGCATCGCCTTGCCAGAACGAGCCCCCCTCGCCTGCAAGTGACTCCGTCACACCCACGTACCTGGCGGGTTTGACGGGCTTCTCCGCCCGGGGCGGGGGGTCACAGGCGCCCTCTTGGGCGCTCTGCGTCGCCATCCTCCCGCCCCGGGACCCGTCTCTGAGGGACTGGGACACGGCGCTCCCGCCTCTCCGAGGAGCTCCGGGCTCTGAGGGGCCGGGGGGGGGCCGGCCCCTGTTGCCCGTTACCAAGGGAACCGCTGCCGGGTAACGGCGCCATGGCGGGGCGGAGCCGCGGCCGCCACCTGCCGGCGGCGCGTGCGCACTGCGCGGCGGTGAACTCAGAGGGGGCCGGGCGGTCCCGCTGCGCGTGCGCGGTTGGGGCGTTCGGTGGGCGCGCGCGGCACCTGTGGCAGCGGTCCCCGCCCCCGCCGGTACGTGCGCGCGCCGCGCTGAGGGCGGGGGGGGGGCGGCCGGGACGGGACAGGACGGGACAGAGCAGAGCAGGGCAGGGCACAGCAGGGCAGGGCAAGACAAGACAGGACGGCACAAGGTGCCATCGCCGCCGCTCCCGAGGGGAGGTGGAAGGCCGGTGCCCGCGGCTGCGGTGTCCGCGTGGGTGCGTGGGTGGGTGCGGTCCGCCCGGCCCCCTCCCTTCGCCCGTCCACGCTTCGGCCTCCTTCAAGGCGCGTCGAGCCACTGAGGAGGGAGCCGCTGCACGGCCTTGGTCTGGGGGATCATCTGGTGTTTATCCCAGTGAGACACCCATTTTCACTAGAGCTGTCGCCGGCAGTGGGTGTCAGAGTGGCGGGTCATTGCTGATGATGTGTGGGTGCTGCCCACGTCCAGGTGAAGGGTGGAGGTGTGTTAACAAAGCGTTAAATTCCGCTGGAGGTTTGGGTGTGAGCTCTGCTGCAACAAAACCACACCCATCTGGCATAGGGGTTCATATCTAAAGTTGCATGGCTAATTTGAGCTGGTTTTGCAGTCAAGTTTTGCCACTGGAACAAAACATAATCTCAAAGAAATGGGTGGCGTTCAACAGCTGCGGGTGCCTGTGTACATGTGCTTTATGTGGGTGGGTGCAAAACTGGGCTACACTGCAGGAGGTCGAAATGAGTAGCTGGATGAAGAATTCCCTGCAAGATTTTGCAACCAGGTTAACTAAATTGATTTCAAACAATACCTATGGCCTAAATTCGTAGAGCAGCCCAGATGTTACACCCGGCAGATGTGTAGAGCAAACCAAGTGCCTGCAGCTGCAAGTGAATCTCTAGTCCATCTGGATGTGGCAGGCAGGACACTGTGCCTGGTGTGGTTAGCACTCCTTTAGTCCACACGTAATGCTTGACGTGATTCTTAGGTTCAAGAGATATAAAGTCACTAAAATACTGTCTCTCCATTCTTGGGGGGTTTTAATCCCAAATATAACTTTTATATCTGCAAGCTTAATACAAAGATCTTTTTCTGTCCCTGTTGTGAATATAGACATACATAATGCACTCGAGTGCATTACTATTGTACTGCAGCTTTATATTGATACTGGATATTACACTTTGCAGTTTGTTTTTCCTTTTTAATAATTGTTACAAAAAACTTATATTGTATCTACACAGGATGACTTGCTTATCCTTTACAAGGATGGAGGAAAAAACCCTTTACAGTATGATATGCCGATCTTTACTCTGATCTATGCCTTGTAATTACAGCATGCCCACCAGGTCACAGCACTGGATGCAAACACAGACTTACTGTTTGCAAGCTCATCTTTCCACACAGAATTGAGCAAATGCTTTTCCCACCCCCGCCTCAGTTTTAAGGAGATTTTGAGAGTCTTTCCCTCTTTGACCTCCCTAAACATCATATGCTGCAATTAGTGCTGATACTGGTGTTTATTCATCTAAGCAAAAAAAAAGCACAATGTCAGGAGTTTCTTGCTTAATCTTTTTTGGAAATCCATCTTTCTTAGTGCCTTTTTTTAGAGGGTAGAGTGTCTTCATGATATATTCTCTCTCTCCCCCCCCCCTTTTCTCTCCCCCCTCAAATAACACTCAATACAATTCCAGTATAGGAGTTCTTCACAAATCCCTTGCTCGGTTTGCCATCCCTTCAGAAGAGACTTGAATGCAACTCATTCAGCCTTGCTGTTGCACAACACTGTGAGTTATCTGTGTATTTAAGTGGGTCTTGCATTTGTTTTTTCAGAAAATATTAAAAAAATCAAAGTTACCTTGGGAGGTGGGACAAATGTATATTTTGTTAACATTTTGATTACAATAAGTTAATCAAGTTAATTGTTATTTGTAAATGTGTAATTAAAAACAAGTGTTAATAGAGGAAAAACTAATTGGTTTTGAATTTCTATAAACAATATTATTTGCAAAGAGTTGGATTTGTTAGTGGAAATGAGCTGGAACTATGCAGGAGAGCGGAATGAGTCTTTCTCTGAAAAACATCTCCCTGGCACTGGTGAAGTCATAGCTGTATTTATGTTTGAAGTCTTGTTCTGAATTTTATGTCCTTTAGGTTTTTTTCCTAGATGTTTGCTGAAGGACTGGTTACTGGTTTTTTGTCTGTTTTTGTTTTTTCTGAAGCAGTTAAGTGGATTGTCAAGTTGCCTTGGAAAAACCCCCACAATAAATCAACAGAAGATGTTTCATGTTTTTCAGTATCGGCCTTTGAGACTAATAACCCAAAACAGTCTTTCTAGCATGCATTTAAAACTGATGCTTTCAAGACCTGTTGCATTGGCACAGATATGGAAGTCGTGGTTCTCAAGCCATTCTCTTCTTGGAAACAAAAATATTATCTTGATGGGACCTCCGGGTGCTGGGAAAACAACAATTGGGAGAATAGTAGGCCAGAAACTAGATTGCCCTGTCATAGACATAGATGATGATGTCCTTGAAACAACGTGGAATATGAGTGTGTCAGAAAAACTGCAGAATGTTGGTTATGAAGAATTTCTAGAGGAGGAAGGGAAAGCCCTGTTGAATTTTTCAGCATCTGGAAGTGTCATTTCCCTTAGTGGGTCCAATCCAATGCATGCTGCTGGCATGCAGCACGTGAAGAAAAATGGAATAGTTGTGTATCTGGATGTGCCCACAACAGTCATTATGAGCAGGCTGAAATCAATGGCAGTGGATCGCATCATGGGCCTGTCTGCTGGTAATTCCCTCAAGGACATACTTCAGTTTAGGAAGCCATTTTACAAAAGGTGGCACGACATCCGTGTTTTTTGTGGAGAGGATGTTGCGGCAGAAGTTGTAGCAGAAAAGGTACTTGATGCTGTGAAGAGATACCAAGACTCGGAACTGGAAACCTTCATTTCAACTCGGTCTAGTAGGTCTGGAAGGAGTATGGAAAAAGACTCTCATAAGTATTTCAGTGACGTTGTTATTCAGGGCTTAGCCCCTGATGGAGGACTCTTTGTTCCTGAGAGACGACTTCCAAAATTCACTGCTGGAGAATGGCAAGGTCTAATAGAAGCAACGTACGTTGAAAGAGCTGAGGTCATACTAGAAAGATGCATACATCCTACTGATATTCCTGCTTCTAAGCTGGCAGAAATTATTGGAACTGCTTATGGAGAAAACTTCAGTTGTTCTAAAGTTGCCCCAGTTAGGCATTTGGCAGGCAATCAGTTTCTTCTGGAGTTATTTCATGGACCAACAGCATCATTTAAAGATTTTGCATTACAGTTGATGCCACATTTATTTGCCTCCTGCATTCCCAGAAGCTGCAATTACTTGATTCTGGTAGCTACTTCTGGGGACACAGGGAGTGCTGTCCTAGATGGCTTTAGTCGTCTCCATGACACTGACAAACAGAGAATTGCTGTGATGAATTTTTTTCCTGAGGATGGAGTAAGCCCGATTCAAAAATCACAGATGATTGGCTGTCAGAAAGAAAATGCATGGTCAGTGGGTGTCAAATCTGACTTTGATTTTTGCCAGACAGCTATAAAGCAAATCTTTACTAATTCTGATTTTACTGGCTTTCTTACAGTAGAATATGGAACTGCTTTAGCTGCAGCAAACTCCATAAACTGGGCACGACTGCTTCCTCAGATAGTTTATCATGCTTCTGCATACCTTGATCTTGTTCATCAAGGTGTTACTCCTTTTGGTACCCCTGTGGATATTTGCATTCCTACAGGAAACTTTGGCAACATATTAGCGGCTTTCTATGCTAAAATGATGGGAATTCCTATCAGAAAATGTATTTGTGCTTCCAATGAAAACAATGTTTTGACGGACTTCATAAGAACAGGTGTTTATGATTTGAGGGGAAGAAAATTAATTTCCACTTTTTCATCAGCAGTAGATATTTTGAAGTCCTCCAATCTTGAACGATACTTGCACCTGATTGCTAATGAAGATGGACAACTGGTAACACAATTATTTAACCAGCTGGAAGATCAGGGCCACTTCCAGCTAAGGAAAGATCTACTTGAAAAGCTTCAGCAGGACTTAGTGGCTGGCTGGTGCTCTGAGGAGGACTGTCTAGCTGCCATTCACTCTGTGTACAGTACTACAGGATATATTTTGGATACACACACAGCTGTTGCTAAAGTAGTTGCAGATCGATTGCAAGATAGAACTTGCCCAATTATTATTTCATCTACAGCTCATTATTCTAAGTTTGCACCTGCTATCTTAAGGGCCTTGAGGATTGCAGAAATAAACCAGAATCCATTAAGTCAGCTTCACTTACTGAGTTCTTACAGCGCTCTGCCTCCAATCCACTGGGGCCTGTTAGAGACCCTGAAAAAGACAGGGAATGGGGATCACCAGGTCTGTGCTGCCGATATGAGTGTGCTGATGCACCACATAGAAACCCTAATCCAAAATCATTTCATGAAAGTTTTTTGAGCAACTGATCCAATGTCCCCAGTGTGAATTGCAATACTGTCTTAACAAGCAGCATGTTTTACTAAAGCCATCATTCACCTGGGCTGTGTCCAGTCCACAGCACAACATCCACAGTTTTATACTCAGTTGTCAAGCTTTCAACAGAATTTGTAAGTAACATGTGTGAGATTTCTAGTGGTGGTGAAAGGTTGTGAATTGAGAATGTAAAAGACTGGACTACCTTTTTGCAGGTCAGACACAGTAGAGATGTCAGCACTCCCAGCTGTCCTTGGCAGTGCTGTCTCCTTCAGAAGCCTGAAGGAGACAGATAATCAAGTCTGACCTTTCTGAAACTAATAGCTCTGGTTTTGTTGCAGCAATTATGTGATCCTTTGGTCTGTGGGTGATTAATTAAACTTTTAACTCATTTCACTTAGGGCACTGGAACAGAATAAGATACTATAATAGTGTTCATATGTTGCTAATGAGAATGGATTTCACTACAAAGATTGAAGTGTACTTGTATTGTTAATCCCTGAACCACTGAGGAACCACTGAACTTTGTGGTATCTTTTTGTATAATTTTTTTTTATGTATCATGAGGCCAGTGTTTATGTACAAAAAATCTGGTCTTTTTGTTTTTCAGACTTTTTTCTCCCAGATATTTTCCTGTGTAGAACAGAATACTTGATTCAATATTTTTAATATATTTGAGATGTAACTCTTCCTCCAGTGCGTTGTGGTCTTTCTCCTGTATGTTTTCTGCTTGAACTTTCAACTTTAGAACTTTTTTTTAATCCCATAGAAGAATCTGCTAATAGTAGCAGTAGTCTTCTTAAATAAGAACCAGACTTTGCCTTTTCTTTACATTTATTTTTTTGCATTATAAGTTTAATCTTTGACATCATAGAGCTTTCTTGTTCTAATTACTTCTGTTTTCCTGTTTTCTTAAGTTAAGCGTCCTTGATGTTCTATTCTGTTCTCGCTTTGCATGAATTAGTGTAAGAAAGAAGCTTCCCAAATTGCTTGGCATCTCATCAAGGAAAGTGAAGGATGAATTCCAGTGTGATAGCATCAGAGGTATTCATTATGTAACCTAAAATAGATCTATGTGCTTTTGCTAATGATAGGCTCTTTATTGTTTTTTTTCTGAAGAAAAAAGATTGAGTAGGTTGTCCTAGGAGATCATGTGGTTATGGAGAAATGTATTCTGGTACCTGGAGGTATATTTGGCAATGACATAAAATTAACTACATTTCACACTAAGATAAACGGTGAAATGATGTAATGGCTAGTTTTGAGTGGCATGCAAATGGCTCTTTACAGGTAAAGAGCTGCCCATCATCAGATGAGAGGTTGACTTTCCCACCAAGATTCAAATAATCCGGTAATTGATAACATTTTTGCCTCTTTGATATGCAACATTTCCTAGATGTCAAGATTCACCTGGGGCTTTGAACTGTTGTCATATCTGACAGCTTCCTCTGTGTGTCTGCTTGCCACATTAGAGGCGAAGAAGACACCACCTAGTAAACTATTTTAAAGAATTGTTGTTTAAAGAATTCTTCCAGCCTAAAGTAAAAGACTCAAGCACTTTGCCACAGTGGGTGCATTATACAGTATAATTAAATGTAGCTGATAACATAGGTGTAACAAAATAGCTTTCTAGATTATGCCATTCTTGGATACCTTTTTAGAACCTTTGTATTTCTTTTCTCAGCTCAATCCTTGTTCACTATTTCTGCAATAACTTTGAAAAAGAAGTTTTTGTTTTCACAGAATCGTGAGCATCCCAAGTTGGAAGGGACCTCAAAACATCACCCAGTCCAACCTTTTGTGGCAAAGGGAGCCTAGATGAGATTATCTAGCACCCTGCCCAGGCACGTCTTAAAAACCTCCTGCAATGGGGCTCTTCCACATCCCTATGGAGGTTGTTCCACTGATTGAGTGTCCTCACTGGGAAAAATTTTTTTCTTATATCAAGATGAAACTTCTCCTGGTGCAACTTCCTCTTTGTCTCCATGTGTCTCCTGAAGAGAGAACCTCTGTCCTCTTTCTAGCCACCACTGAAATACTGGAAAGCTGATGATGTGGCCCCTGAACCTTCTCCAGGGTGAAAAGACCTGACTCATGCAGTTTCCTCATGTGACAGGGGAATTGTCATTTTCCAGACACAACATTGGAAAGACCATAAATATGTGTTTTGGTTTTTTTTTAATCCAAGTTCGGTAAGAAAGAATTGCATAAGCATATTGCCGAAAAAGAAGCATTGCTTGTGCTGGTGATAAGTGCACATCCACCTTGTATTTCTCTATGTTTAAGCCTGATTCTTACAGTAGTTCCAAGTGGAAAAAAAATGTACTGCTTTCTCTGGATGTGCTCAGTATAAGACCAGAATTCTAAATGTTAAAAAACCCAAACAAATCCAAACCCAAACAAACCCAACTGCCTGGATTGAATTACTGGAACAGGGATTGGGTTCAGCTTCAGGACTCAGTGGAAATCGTGCAGTAACTGGTTCATGGGGCTTAATGCAATTTGACATCACGGGTCAATTTGTCACACAGTTACAATACTTTGAAGAAATATCTTCAAAGAAGAGCTTGTTTCTTCATGGAAAGTACCTGAAAGAGAAAGCTGAGATTCTAAGAAGATTAGAGTAGAAGCCAACATCCTACCCTGAGATAACTCACTGCTAGATAAACCAGTCACAACTAAACTAACGGGGGATTTATTTTGGCATGACTCAATCAGTATTTCAAAGTTTATGGCAGTAACTCAAGCTTGAAGTAGAAAGTATTAGTAAAATTTCCAGTTGCTGTTTTCCTACCGCATGAACTATTATAGCAATTGACACAAATTTAATAAGTAAAAAAAATGAGCAGTTGTACCTAGTTAAGGGTTTTCAGCATGGACTTAAGGTCTTTAAAGGCAGTGGTTAAAGAGCACATAAGGTATTAATACATTTCTCCGAATGTCTAAATAATTAATTTTTGGACTTTCAGTGAGCTATTTTTGTGCACTACATCTGCTTGTGGATCCTTGTAATGGGCTCTATAAAATGCTGCAGTAGTGTTGTGATCCTGGATGTGCACAGTATTTGTGACCTGGTGCTGATGCTGTGTTCTGGCAGCTGTCATGTACAATCTCCTGGCTTGCCTTGTTCTTTTGGGCCTGGAGAAATAAAAGAGAAAAAATTTCCAGTATACTCAGTGTAGCTGGCTGTGGAGACATGGGATAGAGAAGGAAGCAACCCTCTTGTCTTCCCAGCCTGGATTTTCTTAGTGCTAACAATATACTGTGATTCAACAAACATTGTGCTACTGTTACTGTCTTTTTTTCCCCCCCCACTATCAGTATTATGAAATATTCAAAAGGCATTAAAGACAGGACACAAGTGATCTTTTTTTGCCTTGTGTGTTCAGTGTGCAGACATTGTGCACACTGAATGTTGTCATGTGGTATTTTCTATTAAGGCAAAAATGGTGTGCCAATGATACACAAGGGCAAATCTATATGGTGCTGGTTAGGAGAATTCCTTAAACCATTTAGGCTTGCAGGATACACAGTTTGGTCTTGTTTGTCTAGCAATAGGATGTTGCAGTCTCAATCAATAAAAGCCAGGTTGACAGAGAGTGTGTGTGCATAGATACACATTTCCACTAGATACACATTTGCACTAGCTTTGTTGACCTGGAGTAAAAGCATAGCTTTAGTTAAGCTGTTATTCATCTGTATAGATAAAATGTTTGCTGAACACTTGCTACTACCTGAAAAACCGTAAGGATGAATGTAACAAATGTAAGGACAAATGTAATGTCTATACTTACACTTTTTATTACAGGAATGTTTATATGGAAAATACTGTTTTGTTTACACGTGTACCAGCTGCTCATTACTTGCTTTTAGTCACAGCCCTTCTTGGGGTGACAAAGAGTGATGTGAGGTAAAGGGTGAATAGAGCACATAGGGACAACTTGAGAATTTATTTCTGATTTCTTAGTATCTTACAATTAAAAATAATTGCCATATATGTTTTTGAGGCAATGGAATATTTTAGGTGGCGGAACTCTACAGGGAAGATTCTTGGTTTTTATGCTGTCAAGTTTGCTCTTCAAGGACATCAAGAACACACAATGCTATTAAGTATATCATGTTTGGCTTTCCTGAAATATGCATTACTCATTTGTATCTGCCATATTTCTTTCCAAATAAAACTTCAGGATCCACACTGTAGCACTTTCTTTGTAAATATGTTTGTAAATCATTATCAATCTGATATAAAGGAAATCCACTAAAAGGAGTGAGGTTTAGAGTTTGATATTCTTAAATGTTGAAAGATGTGTTCCATCCTGTGTTTTCTTGGAAGCTGGATGTATAGTAACTGTTAATCTAGTAATTCACTTTGCTGAGACTGAGGTGGTTAGTGAGATAATTTGCATCATTCTGGAAGGAAAGTATGTATAGAAAAGAATCCCACATCCAAAATAGCAAATGTCTAAACACTCTGTTTATGTTGCACACAGACTTGCCTGGTGCTGCATGGAAAGCCTACTGTATTTTGAGGAATTAATATGGAAAAGGAAATCTCTGAGTGTTTAATCTTTCTTATTCCCACTTAGTTCAGTGGAGACATGAGATGGTTGTTTTAACAGTTGTGGAGCAACCTTCATTCACTTGGAATATTATTTCAGGATCATGGGCTTAAAAATCACTTGAATAGCTGAAACAGCAATGAGTAGGTAATGTCAGTGAATTAAAGGGAATGGCCAGTTGATTCTGAACATGTATTAGCAGCTTAAGGAGGATTCAGATGTTACTGTGTTTTTCCACAGGAGTTATAAATGTACACAGCATGCTTATTAGAAATGGGAAGCTGTTGATTCAGAATTTTTCAGAATGTAGCAATCTAAAAGACAGCAGTCTTGGTCTTGCTCTCCAACTTAACTAAAACTTTTGCAGGTCTCCCATTGTGGATGTAGATCTGAGCTCTTTGTTCCTTTTACTCAAGAAGACTTTATTCCCTGATAACTGTTTAAGATGCTCTCTGGTCTCTTTCTTGACAGCATAGGAAAATTGCTCAGCTGATTTAAGAAAACAACTGATTTACTCTCTTATGTATGTAGTCTTATAAAATTTAACCTAGTAGAGCATCCACAGTGTTTTCCCTGTGCAACATAGGACCACATTTTTCATAAAAAGTGTATCTCAACAAAATCTTCACAAAATCAGTTACTTAGCACCAGAATTGTTACTCTAGCATTTTATTTAGATATTTCATCACTCATATTTGGAATATACTTAGATTTTCAAGTATTTTATTTTATTTTAACTAAGTTATTGCTATAGAAACATGCAGGGTATCACCCCCAAATATAAAATTCATCATGACAGTAATTGAGTCAAACTGGAAAGGAAACACTGAACAGATTTGTTATATGAGTTCACATAGGATTTGGCTCTTGAGCATGAGTTTGTTAAGAACACAGGAGGAAATAAAGTAAAAGTAAAAAATCTACACAAAATTTAAATACTAAGGAACTACTTAAAGATAGTAAGATTAATTGCTTGGTTGGGAGCTGTAAGCAACTTGCATTTCACTGTGGGCTAAAACGGACCGGTGTTTCTACCAGCATAGAGGTTTGAGAACATATTTAGCAAGTGGAACAATTTGTGGTAGGAAATGCTGACTTTGAACGGTGTGTGAAGATGGTGTACCATTCTCAAGTGAACATGAATTTTCAGCATGCCTTGCAGCCAAAAGGGTTGGTGAGATCCTGAGGTTTAGAAATGGGAATACTGTCAGGGATGTAATATTGCTGACTGTATTTGACTCTGGTACATCCTTTTGGAAGAATGCTATGCCCAGTTCCAGGAGTCATAATTTTCAGTAGTGCTGGGAAGTTGGACATAAAAAGCCATGAGAGCAATAGAAGGATTAAAAAAAAGCACTGGCATGAGAGTCTCAACAAACAGAATTTGCTTAGTTTAGTGAAAGAATTACCCTAGACAAACCGTCTTGGGAGATAAAAAAATATAATAAGGAACTGTTCCATCTAGTAGTGAAAGAGTGATCCAGCAATTCTAAGTAGAAGTTGGACATGTTACAAGAAGGGATAAAGGTACATAACAGAAAGGTAAAGACTTCCCTGTCTGGACACGTTAGATGATTTTCTGAAAAAATGTGATTTGATAGAAACACGACCAATTCAGACAAATCACATCCTTGTTACACAACAGGTCAAAGCAAATAATCACAAGTCATATTTGGCTGCCCTAGGAGTAACTTGTCTGCTGACAGAATTTCACAGAGGTTTGAGAGCCAGAGATTGTGAACTCATTTCAGTTCTGCTGTAGTGTGATCAGTACACAGAGCAAGTTGTGCTCTAAATAGGCTACTGGATATGTTTAGCCTTGTTCTTTCTGTCTCTAGAGAATTGCAAATGGACTACTAATGCACACTCTGACTTGACTCATGGCTATTAGGATATGGCTCATTAGTTTTAAATTTCATTATACAATACGTTCTGTGATGGTTTGGGCTGTATATACTTTCATTATGAAAATGAGGTGAACAGACACAGAAGGAAAGTGCCTGTGTAAATGTCAGCTTTATTGAAGGTAGCTAATTATTATTTATTTTTCCAAGCGTTTAAAAGTTAGAGATCTTTTAAGGTTTTATTAGATACTCTTGGACACCTTCTTTCCATTCTTGTTTACTTGGCATTTTTCTGGGCTTTCACAAGCAAGTTGCAATACAATGGCTATTTTCAATTCATTTTCAGCTCATAATAGGATCTATGTAAGACAAAATGAAAAATCCAATGTTTCCTTTTTATAGTTAAACTCGACCTTTTACATTCCAACCAAAGATGCTCCATAAAGCTTAGAGAAGTTAAAGTGTGCTCATAGGGTTCTGCTCTAGCAACATATTTTGAGAAAAATGTATTTTCCCTACATTTTAGAATAATTCACTAAATTATAAATAAATAGAGTAATTATTTTGTGGACTTTTTTACTAAGTACATGTGGCGATCTGATTCTGTTTAAAATGCTAATAAATGCATCCCATCTCTAATGAAACTGGTGCTTCCTGCATAATTAATTAGCATTTTATACAGATGAGGACAGGAAAGCCATATTCACAGTCATTTTCAACCAGAATAGTTAATAAAAGAATTCTTTACAGTTCTGAAAGGTCACACGTGAATAGCTCATTTCTGCAAAACGGGTATTTTTTGCAAGTAAAAATTTTAGTGAAGCTTACCTGGAATCGTTGGTCCATACAGCTTTTATCCACAAGGTGGCATTCCTAACAGGAGTTTACGAGACATGGTAATTTCTTGCAGTTTTTGAAGAGCTCTAAGTGAAAGGCAGTCATGAGCATTTGTAATGTTATATGAGATTTTTATGTTTTAATTTTTATAAAATGTAATTAACAGTAAGTCATTAACCTTAATGATAGTTTAATACTCATTGATATGTGAAGTACCCAGAACTATGTGATGGTTCCAGGTCAGCAAAACAGCATGTTAATTCATGGCATCACATGCTCCTATGGACACTTTCCAACTTTAAATTCGGAATCGATTTTGCTTTAATAAAAGAATATAAAAATTAAAAAATCTGTTATTTAAATCCAGAGCACAAATAATAGCATGGATCTGTATGCAAAACCCCAGTGTTTGGGGTTTTGGTAATGAGGCACCTTGTAGTGAGTGCTGGGTTAAAGAAGAGCGGATAACAGTATTCACAGGGAAGAATTTTTCATAGCTTAATGTTACAATCACCAAGAAGCGTATTTTCAGATGCCTATCATCCAGGCTGGTCACTGAGCCCACAGGCAGCCCTGCTTTCTTTCTGGCTTTATATCTTTTTCACTTGATTGTAATATTTTTATGCTATATATATGTATAAAAAGAATACATTGCTTGTTATTCTTTTTATAGAAGCACGAAGGGAGTATAATACAACCTGCTAAACTGATACAAGTGTACTAGGTTTTATTTAACAGGGACATGCGTATTATGCTTTTCTCCCCCATGGGTAAGGTCCTGATCTTACTTTTGCTTCTTTTGCTGACTTTGTTAGATCAGACCTGAGCTAAGTAATCATTTCTGTTTCCATTTTAGCTAGTGCCCTAGTTGCATTTTGTTTGGAAAAAAAGGCATAACCTTAAGTTTATGCTTAAAGTGGAGTCCAGTGTAAACTGTGGATTTATTTTTTTTAAAATTTATTTCAAGCCAACAGAAAGGAATACAATAGAGTAGTTGTTTATTTGTTTGTTTGACTTATTGTTTTGTAGTAGCAAAAATTCTGTGGTGTCTTTTCTAATGCATGTGTACATTTCCTGTTAATCCTTCTGGTCCATGTGCTGCCCCCCACTGATGCCTCAGCCCTCTGGTTTTGCTTCTTATCATTTAATACAGCTGAGAGGGCGGAGTAGCAGCTACATCCACTGCTGACACTAATGACAGTCTTTGCTGAGTGACAGGGTACTACTTTGACATTAAGCAGATGTTCTTTTTCCTAACATGCTATTATACCTCTCTCATCTCTCAAAGATGGCTATGCAAAGGAGAATATGAAGTCTTGTTCACTGACAACAATTGTCAGTCGAAAAACCCCACTTTTAGAATGATCAGGCAGGTAGAACCTACCTGCTGGATGAATCTGGCACAAGGACTGCAGAGACAAACTTCTGAGTTAGTATCATCTTATGTTGACTACCAGTAAAATTTGAGGGCCTGAACATCTCCCACATGCTGCAAATCTTAAAGAAATGTGATGAAAATGTCTATTTCAAGGATGCCGAAATGTCTGGACAAAGAAAGTTATATATAATAATTAAGAATGTTGATGAGGAAGTAAATAATTTCTGGCTGTTACTTTTCAAGTTACACCTTGAATTCTCTTTGTAGTAGTTAGGCATAGCACTAGGTGAGTAGATGAGGGCAAGGTTACTCTGAGAAGAGCAAGGAGCCTGTCCTAGGGAGGAGGTTTAAAAATAGGAAAAACAAATGTACTGAGGAAAGAAACATTCTCTGCTCTGATGACTGCCATGTGGAAAGGGCTTAAAGTGAAGGATAGTCTGTAAACAGAACTATACACCACTAAACAAGTGAACAGGTTAGTCAAGGTAATGACAGGGTGCAGGGTCCCCCAAAAAGCCATAATGTGTAGGGTGCAATGGACACCACCAGTAGAAATCAGTGGTGTTGAGCATTGCTTGTGTTGCTTCTGGGACATCTCAGGATGTTGGATCAGATGGATATGTACTCCAACTCCCAGGAGTTGGGAAAGATTGCACTGAATTTGTCCTTTTGCCTGAGTTATATGACAGTGACTAAGAGTTCATATAACCAAGGGCTTGCAGGTAACGCTGTCAGAAAAATATGGCCATACTGACTGTAGACAAATAATAGTCCTGATACTTTATGATGGATCTGCAAATTACTTTGTTAGTACAAAGCACATCAGGGGCTAATTTGATGTGGTTTATTGTTTGCAAGAGGTGGGTTATAAATGTTGGGAATTGCATTTTATGTAACTGCTGCTGGGTAGGCATAGGTATGAGTAAGTGTGAACTGGGAAAGGAAAATGATACTGGGAACTGTAACCACGAGTATTATCACTTCCCATCTGTAACAAACTTATGCCTAGGGCAAAGAAGCACAATTACTGACAGAAGCTGTGTTTGTTCATGCAAGTGATTTTATTGCTCTAAGTGATTTATCACTGTGGATTATGTTTTTTGATGAAAGACTTTTCTGGAATAATTGTACTCAAAAGGAAATGAGTTGTTTACCTTCAATAGACGACCAGGTTTGCCAATTGAAAATAAGTTAGATTTTTAAAGTACTTTCATGAGGGTTTTTAATTGGTGGGATACAAAGGGCTATTGTGCAACATGGGAGTTTGCTTCCCCAAGTTAGTAACATAATCTCTTTCTCTCTGCCTTTCACTTCCTCAGTCTCAGAAATCTAGAACTACACATTTTAGAAAATCATCAGATACTTAAATATTTCATATGCTTCCAAATATGATTTCACTTGGTCTATTATCAAAAGAATAAGCTGGGTTCTCTGAATTTATATTAGATGCTGAAGATTGATGATTACTGAAAAACAGCCCTCATTTCCTTCACAAAAAGATGTTACGTTTTAAAATTGTGCAGCACCTGAACTGCCAGAATCTTTGTTCCTTGTGCTCCTGGGTCACTGATGGTAAAGCTCATACTTTCTTATGCATTTGTAAAATGCATTTGTTGTAAAAAGAAATAGTTATAAGTTATATACCTTCCTTCTGAGAGGCATCTGAATGCAAAACAGACACAGATATCCACTATGTTACTATGGCCTGACACCAGAATTACTTTACTAAAGGCAAATCAAAGCTAATACCCGGTCAACCCCTGTTCAAATGCAGAGGCAAAGCTGAGCTGGAAGATACCAAGTGCAAAGTGAACTTTCCAATGCTGTGAAAAACCAGTATAAAAGCCAGTTGAAAACTACTTCACAAACTACTAAGATCTCTGTAGTGCCCAATACCACAAATTGTTACTCATTTCTGCAAGGCACAGCTGACAGCTGATGGGGGAAATAAAGAAATATAAATTACTTTACTTTTTAAATCTGTCCAAAATAAAGTTTGCCTTCTGTGAGCACTTAGCTGCTTGTGCTAAGCCCTAGGGTGAAGAGTGAGTCTCCCACCTCCCAAGGTGGTGGCTCTTCAGTCAGTTCAGGGCCAGCAGAAGAATCATTTTCAGTGATGAGATCTTTTTCCTTGTATTAATGCATGATCTGTTTCATAAATCAAATTACATATAAATGGAACAACTTAAAAGTAATTGTGCAGCTGAGCAACTGATGAGTTACTGTGCCTTATGGCTGCTGTGGCTGTGTGGGTAAGCACCAAAAAGACAAAAATTGGTCTCTTTAACCTCCATTGTTCCTTCTACCTCCCCAATGAGTTTCCTGTCACTTTAATTTAGGATGTATTTTGATCAACTTATGAAAGCAATTCTATGATACATTTGTCTCCAATTCCCAAGAAACAATTTCCCAGTCCTGTGTTCCTAAATTCCCTTCTGTATGCTGCCTTACCTTTTTTCTTTTTTTGGTAGCTGTAATAGATGTTGTTAGTGATGATGCTGTTTGTAGATCTGGTTTTAGAGGACAGACAGAAGAATTAAGCAACATTTGGAGTGTCATTGAGACCACCTTGGTAATTTTTTTTGTTTTGCAAAGCAGATGTCTCTGTAATGCACTCAAATTCTTCACCGTCACCCATTATCATGAAGTCATTTTAGCATAACTATTTTTTAATTCTCTAAGCCTTTTTACGGGATAATTTAAAATCAGTCTTTGTAGGATAAATTTAACTCTATATTACAATTCAAAATACCAGAATCATAAAATTTAGAAAAAATAATCTTGTAATAATAATTTTGTAGTTAATGTAATTAATTTTCTTCCAGGCTGATACTTGGACTGCAAATCGAGAGTTTTATTTCCCTTTTGGCCTCAGGTACCCTCTGAAATGTTCAGACTTAAGTTCTGTGAACTGTGTTGTCATTCTGTGTTGTGACAGTGTGTTGTCACTCTAATTCTGACAGCAGGATTTTACAAACTGTCAAGAGTTCTGAACAGAAGGAAAAGTGTATGTATGCAACAATTTCCAGTGGATCAGAAAACCAGGAGACATTATTCTGTTATTATAACTTGACCTAAGAGGAGAAGAGGTGCATGTGTATGAGCATGCAGATACTTGATAAGTTGATATCTTTTCCATAAAGCTTGAAAGTGGTGATTTTTGCAACGTTTCAGATTGATTAGGGGTTGTTGGGGTTTTCTTCCAAATTCATGATGGAATGACACAAAAATTAAGAGCTATTTTTAAAATCAGACTTTGATATATAGAAAGTAATAAATAGGAGGACAGCAGTAGCAAAAGTCAGATCCAGTGAATAGTGAAAAGCTGGACACAATTCTGTGCCAAATGCCTCTGAATTAATGCCTGAGACTGAAATTCTGTTCCTTTAAACGTGGTCATGACTAAAACATGCTATTTCTAGCCTTAAAATCTTACTATAAAAGCAGAGTTGTGTTTTTCTTGAGAGATTTGTGTAAATTCCTGCTGCAGGGAGGCTAGGTAGCAGGGAAATGGCTTTCTAGGGGGAGCTGAGAGGGGTGGTTCTACTTTTTGTCCAGCAATAATTCTGATCTAAAGGAATAGGAAAGCACTGAAAATTTTATTTAAACCTCAAAAATTGTATTTAATGTGGGATGGGCATTTATAGTTTAGCAGTCTGTTTATCTGAAGCTATATGACTTCTTCCTGACTGTGAAGGCTCCCAGGACATGTTGTTCAGTTTATTGTGTGTTCTGAGAGACAGAAAATGTGAAAGAATTTGTGTATATGCACATGTATCTATAATGTACATGCATGCAGACTGTATATGTATCTCAGTTTATTGTGTGCACAGAATATCACGTTCTCAGGCTCAGAAACACAGCATGGTTTGCAGCCCAGGGCCCCAGCTGGCCTTGGCCCTTGGCTGGTTTTGTGCAGCACCGTTGCCTGACCTTGGCTCACTGTCACTGAGAAGGCTGTTGCTGAGCTCTCAGAGTCTGTAAACTGAAACCGTGTAAGATAAGAAAAGTAAAACCAGGCAGAACTGAACGTGCTGCGCTGGGAAGACTGTCTCAGGGACTGGGGACAAACACTGACATGGAATCTATAAAACCTGAGGGAGAAATCAGAGATGTAGAAGATGGCATCTCTGCAACTGCGAGGACTTGTACTGAAGTACTGGGGTATTGTGACATGACTGAAATACTTTTCTTGTTAAAGTCTGCAACACCAATAAAAAGTAACAGAAACCACCTCATATGCTTTTCCGCATTTTTTCTGCACTGACCCTCATCTCATCAGCTCCCTCTGATCCATCTGAAACACACTTCTCTGATCAGCCTTTGGTCAAAAATGCCTCTTGATACCTTTTACTGCTTTGCTCGTTTCCCTCCATGAAATCGTGTGAATCATACAAACCCCCAAGGCACACTTGGCATGTGGTGCTGTTGTCTCACTTCTCTTGACCCCAGTGTCCACACTGGGATGGTGCTGCAGTGACCAGCCAGCCGTCTGGACTCCCATGCAGATGCCCAGCTTGGCTGCAGGGCTGGAAGGGCGAGGAACAACATTCCCAGCCCCGATATGAGTACCCAGGGTTGGGGTAGGGACTCAGGACCCAAGAAGCTTTGCGCTATTGCTTACACAGGCACCCAGGTGAAAATAACTTTGCTTCTAATCACAGCAGGCACCACGGCTGCTGGGCCCTGGCATAGGTTCCCTCTTGCTGTCAGAGCCAAAGCCAGCAGCTGTCTCCATAAGCACAGTACATTTCATATATGGCAGACTCTGAGCTGCCTTCAGATCCTTCTGATTAAAGAAATAAAGTCGTTCTGGGAGTGTTTAGTGTGCCATCTGGGATGTGCTCTGCAGCTCCTCAGACCAAACTCGAGATGGTATGTTTCCTTGTCTCTCATGTTTTTGTAAGTCTCCTTCTTACCATCACCATATCTTTTGTTACCAATCTCCTCATCTCATTTCTGCTACCAGGTGGTTAAGCAAGCAAAAGGGCATTGCACAAAGGGACTACCTGGACAATTTAAGCTGGACTGCAAGTGTACATTGGTTCCATCCATTTTAATTTGGAGGGGGGGGTGTTTGAGTTTGTTATTTGTTGATAGTGGTTTTTTGTTGTTGAGGGGTTTTTGTTTGATTGTTTTTGTTTTTTATAAATGAAGATGCAAATATAAAATGGTTGGCAGTTTAGCTGTCCCTGAAATGTCAGATCTGAGGACCGGATTTGGAATGGGATTTCTCTCTGATTTTGTTAGAGCATCCATTTTGGCATATAAGTGAAAGTTACAGCAGAAATTATGTTGGTGAGACGTTTCCAAAGCTACAAAGTGTGAACTAGATATAGACAAAAGAGGGAAAAGTGTATCCCATGAACTAACCAGCCCACTTGATCAAATCACTCAGGAACCTGTAAAAGTAGGATTTCATACAGAAGGAAGAGATGAAGGTGCTCAGGAAAAAAAGGCTTTCTAGTCATACCGTGAACTCCTGCTCTGTAGCAGCTGCTGCCGCCCAAACTCCTCTAAAAAAACCAGTCTCTGCTGTAAGCTGATGGCAGAAATGTTGTTGCATGGTGTACAGTAGCATTTACTTTGGGGCATTTGCTAAAAAGGCAAAAGATACATTTTGGAAAGAGACAGCAGTCTATCAACTGGAAAATAAATTATCTTTCTCTGCGGCCCACTCCATTATACCCCACTGCCCTTAGATGCCTCCTCTGAACTTGGATTCAGTACATTTCCAGGCACATCTGGGCTTAGAAAACATATTATCTTGCACAAGGGAGAGCAGGTGGTCCTGTGCAGCCCTGTTTGTGTTCAGCCTAATCTGAGAGATTGGCTTTTGGAGGAAGGGCAGAGATCTGGGGGCATATATGCAATTCATCATCACTGTGTCCAACTGAATGTGAGAAACTGCTACACCTGCTGCTCTGCTTCAGATGGGCTTTGAAATACAGGCAGGCTGAAGGACGTGTGAGTTTTTCTTTCATGATAACAAAAATAAGCACTTTGTTCTGGTGACTGTAAAGTTAAGGCAGTTTCCTACAAGCAGCGATAATTCAAGATCAGTTTCTGGCTTGTGATTGACACAGAAAAAAGAAGAGTATTTTTGAAAATGCTGGTAGATTTTATTAGTAAAAAAAAAAAAAAAAAGGAAAGAAAATCACTGCTAATTTTCAGTTTGCTGAGTTTAATACGTCATTTCCAACAGAAACACACTGAATTATCAGACAGAAGAGAAGTAATTTCACTGCTGTGAGACAAAATCATCAGTATAAAGTAACTGTTAGAAGTCTTCATCGTGCTCTAGGAAGGAGTCCGGGTTCCTTTATGCCACAAGAAGTTCAAACAATGTTCAGCTGTGAAACAGGACCCAGAATAATGATGCAAAGCAAATGCCTGTTCACATACACAACTTGTCCAAGGGCATTGAGAGTGTGTTAGAGGGCTGGGAAGATCCCTAAAACCAAACTGCTGGTATGGGTGTGCCCTGATGGAAAACAGACCCAGCATACAGTAGCTCGGAGGCTGTGTTGGAAGATGCAAGCTGTGAATGCACTTTCTGTGTTTGCCAGACACTTTTAGACAAAACTGGAAAGATTCAGTCCTGACTCATGAAAGATTTTTGCAAATCTGCAGATGCCAAGCTTGAGTTTGAGGTCCAGGAGAGGCCAAGTGCCACCTGTGTGATTGTTGCTGCAGCAGTACTATTGCGTCCTCCCCAGTGCAGAAATTGGGGAATTTTGCTGCCCTGCCATGGGGAGCAGGTGGGTTCATGCCCAGGGTGAGTGCAGGGCTGGGTCCTGCTTTCCAGAACTACGAGTGCTGGCTGCCCCATCCTGTCCTGGCCTCCTTCACCCTCTGCCCTTGCTGCAGTACCACAGCTGCCTCGTACCATGGTCCTTCCCTGCAGTGAGTGGTTTATCTGCACTGCCAAGAGCCCCTGGGCTAATTTGGGGGTTTAGGGAAGGCGATAACAGGTATACTAACAGTGCATATAGATAATTTAATATTTGATTTTGGAAAAAAAAATTGAAATCCAATTTCCAAACGGTGTTTAAAAATTGATTGTAAGAAGAATCTGAATTTCCCTTGTAAATAATAAAAATTATAAGTTATCCATTGGAAATACAATCTGCAGCTTCATTGAAGCTCATTTATTTAGGCAGGCTATGAATTATTCTGGTTTTATTCATCACCTGACTATCTGGATGATTCTGTGTAACATTAGCATCCACATCTATATAATGGAAGTAATAGTACTATGCATCTTTGAAGATGACTCTGGAATTTCAGAATAAAGAGTTTATTAAAGTGCTGGATTTTACTTTGTGGAAACTCTGAAACCTGATTCATTTCAAGTGAATCTCGAAAGTGTTGTAGAGTCCAGTGGGAGCAAGATTGAATTACTGCAAAATGCAGGCTTGGAATCAATTATATATTTATTACCTTTAAAACAATTATCCATTACATTCCCTCTTAACCTTTTCATTATTGTTTTACACAGGCTAAAAGAGCTACCCCAAGAAGTGACTCTGTCCAAACATGAACATGAACAGAACATCATGCTTTCCAAAGCAATTACAATTCTCATTCACTCTTTCCATCTCCCTCATGCTTGCTGTGTGTAATGAAGCTGAAAGACAACAAGGGACATGGTCACTGGAGATATTTGTCAAGCCTGTGACTGAAGCTACTGAAGTTCTCTGCTAATATGGCACGTGAAAATGTGGGTAAGAAGTGCTACAGTTCCAAAGTCAAACATTCAGTTACTAGGAAATATCCAAGTCGTATCTTCCAAGGCAACCTTAGCTCAATTTTCCTATTTATACACTTTATAATATAGTATTTAATTATGTTGTCACAGATAAGTTACTGCTGAAATTTCCTCCTAATACCTACTCTGAGCATCTGTGTATCCATATAACCCTTAGAGCTGGGCCTTTATTTCTCCCAGAGAGCATTGTATTAGAATCCAGCAGAGAGAGATTTAATCTAAACTCTTGATTTCCCAAAGTCTCAGAGGCAAAGTCAACCTGGCATGACAGCCCTTAGTGAGGAGAGCTGGGGAGTTGGCCGAATAAATAGAAAGTGGAGCCATGTGTCTGTCTGTCCCATCCACTTCTCCCTTATATTTTGCTAGAAGTGCAGTGACCAAAGTGATGCTCCAGTGCCTCCACAGCAATACAGCCCCACCACTTGCTGATTTCACCAAAAGCCCCTTGCCCAGTTGGAACAACCCATCCGTGCTGAGCTGAGCTTTGAGGATTTTACTTTTCTCTAGAGACAGGAAAAATGCAGTGTGGTTTTAAACCCTTTCACAGAGGAAGGGTATAGAGCAGGTGGGCAAACACACTAAGGAGGACTTTGGACTCAGGCCATGGCTGGGCAGAGACTGGGAGGTGTCAGGAAACACCTTGCAAAACACTGGGAGTGAGAGCAGACAGCAGCTCTGCAGTTCTCCCTTTTCCTTTCGGCGGTAGCTAATTAGTCTCTGTGTAGGGAACAGGTTCCCAGTGAAAAGCAAAGCCTTGCACTGGCTGTTACCAAGCAATTATTCATTGCCATTCTAGCAATTATTTCTGCCTCTGGGACAGCAGCTACTTTCTACTTTGAGAAACACAGGAGATGACTTTCCATTAAGCAGTCAGTCTTGTTTATAGGAAAATGCACCAATAAATAATAGAAATAATCTACCAAGGCAAAATTCAATCTTTTTGATTTTTAAGTGAAAAACCTGAGGAAAGCCACTGGTGTAGAAAACACTGAAGGTATTTGGCTCTACCTGGGGAAAAATAAAAACTCCAAATATTTGAAAACCTTTTCTGTAAAAGATTTATCTTATGTTTTCAAAAAACAATGATAAACTCTCCAGATAGGTAGAAAAAATATCAGTAATCCCAAGTCTGTGGGGGAACAAAGAGCTCATATAGCTTTTCTTTCAAAAACTTAGTTGCCTTCAAGTGTTCCAGTTGCTGATTATTTCAATAGGAAAGTCTGAAAGGATGAATGTGTCTGTTCGATGCCAAGTGACACTCAAAGTGATCCTTGTTGCACGCGCTGGCTCAGGGTTGCTGAAGACCTATGCCTGAAGCCGTGTGAACAGCAGTGAGGTTGCACACAGAGCCATCTGCAGTTTAACAGGAATTTCTTTGTCTGCATATGAGCACTGTACATGCCTATGTCTCCATCACGCTCAGTTTCGGGGTTTCTTGCAGGACACTGATTTATAAAAAGCTGGTTAGAAATAATGAACGGGATCAAATGGAAATGAACGGCGCAGCAGGGAGAGGATCTGTCCTTTCAACAAGCCGTGGCAGTAACAGATGAAGCAAACTGGCCTTCCCTGGCTCCGCAGCTTGGCTGGGGAATTGCTCTCACAGGGGGGCTGAGCCCACAATAGCGTGGAAGCACAATCGCTCATAAAACTGGAAATGTTGCTCTCCTGGAGGGCTTACGTGGCACATCGTGCTGCAGAGCTGGGGAAATAACGTGCGCATTTCTCTTTCAGCCTTTCGATGGTGATAGTAGGCTTTTTCAGCAGTTTTGCCGACTTACCACATCATACTTTCGTCGCCTAAAGCGGGTCAAGGCCGGGAAGGCCGTGGCAGCCTCTGCTCTGCTCGGGAGAGCAAAGGCAGCTCTGGTGCTGGTACCGCCCGGGTGGGAGCTCTCCGGCCCACGGGCCTGGGGACGGAGCAGCCGCGAGTGTGTCACTGAGAGATCGGCTGCGCTCGAGGGCACGCTCTTTTCATTCCCAGTTTTCCGGGCAGAAAGGCATCCCCAGCAGCCATCTGCCAGGCCCCGCTCCCAGCCCGCCCCGGGTGGAATGGCTCCTGGGGGAAGCATCCGACTCATTTACCCTGGGCTGATAACATATTGCAGATATTGTGCAGGCGGCAGCTGAGCTTTTTGATGCCCTTAAGGAGCGTTTTGTTCCTTTTGCCTCCAATGTACATGCCGGTTCCTCCATCTCACAAGTTATTACTTGCTTCTGTACAAAAAAAAAAAAAATAAATCCGCCTCCTCTGGGGGAATTGAGCTGTTGGTCCTTCTGAAGACATCACAACATAGTTTTTTAAAGGGGCCTTATTTACTGAATAAGCTACTGTTTACCCACGAGTGCATGACCTGCTGTATGTGTTCATAAAACTTTAGGGTAATGCCTAAAAATCAGCTAAAATTACTTTATTGTGGGTCTGTCCTATTCTACTACATTTCTTTATTTTATTTTATTTTATTTTATTTTATTTTATTTTATTTTATTTTATTTTATTTTATTTTATTTTATTTTATTTTATTTTATTTTATTTTATTTTATTTTATTTGTATTCTTCGGCTTGCTCTTTTTACTCCTGATATACTAACAGTAATATATAATGCTTAACAGTGCAGCCCTTATAAACACATTACTGTTAGTATATCAGGATCAAAGCAAAAATGAAAGACACTCCATTGCTATCTCTTTTCATCCTCCCCTGAGGATGCTGTGATTTAGTCTCTAATCTGGAGGGCACTGTCAGTGGGAACAATGCCAAGTCCTTTTTTCATAGCAAGTATGAGACTGAAATTGCTCATTAAAATTCTTTCCCACCTTAGTGCGCAGTGTTTGCTGTGGGCTGCGCTGTTGTTTGACTGTCTGTGTCAATACTGTCTGGCCTCTCAGCATCTCCGTCCTGGGAGGGCCTCGTTATCCCTTTCTGACCCTGCCTTGGAATACTTGCACGATTGTGTTCGGGTGCCTTCCAAGTTTCAGCATCTTCCCTTTATAGATTTAATGGCCTCACCAGTTTTATCTGCTGCTGATTTTTTTCAGCTCATTTATCTTGGTTACATTTAGTTAATTGAGACTAATGTTTTGTTGAAAAATATCTCTCTTGGTCCCCAAGCTGAGCTTTTGAAGTGAATAGATTTGGGTAGAAATTTGCAAATGAGCTATTAATATCATCACTGCAAAGATACTCTCTTCACCCATCATACCCACATTGGCCTGGAGGGGATTGCTTTTCCTGACTGATAGTCAAACAGTTGCCAGCATCACTTTCTCCTTTCAGTACAGCTGGGACTTTATGTCTGTAAGCCTAATCTACTGCTGAATGCTATACTAGAGCCAATCTTACTTCTGAAGGTGTGACCGTTTTATGTTAGGTTTTATCTCAAAAGGAAAATATATATTTTATCTCCAACTGTTAATTAATAATTAGTCTAAATTCTTATTTGGCTCTTGAATTTAGATATCATGAGATACCATCTGGGAGCAGGCGGCAGAAGTAGTTACACATGCTAAACCAAAACCCCTCTCATTTGCCTTGCTCAATAACATGAAACTGTGATGAGCTCCTTGAGCGATCCTATCCTTGAGGCAACCATAGGCCACCTCCTCAAGTAACACAGCTCAGCAACAGGCAAGCACCTGGAAGTCTTTTTAGAGTTTGTCTGGCCTCTTGCAGTTTTCTCATGTTTGTCAGCCTGATGTTACAAAGTGGACAAAGGTGCACCCATTTTTCTGTGTTGTGAATAGTTCTTGGCATTCCTTCAAATAGGGTGAACCTGGGTTTGTCTCGACTCCAGACTGGTCTGGCTGAGGATGTCTCTACTGCCTCCCTTTCCAGCTCATCACTGTGACACACAGACACTCTCCAGCCACCGTGACACACACTGTGCCAGGTCCCCGTGGCCCAGTCACTACAAGGGTTGGTTGCTCAGCTGCTCAACAGCTGCAGCTCTCTCTGTACAGCTGGAGAAATGCCATTTGTACCAACTGAAGGTCTTCCTCAAGTACTTAGTGGCCACATCTTTCACAGCTCCTGCCCATTTTTGTATCCTTAATGATGTGTGAGTGAATGATTAAAATTCTACTACTAAAAGTAGCTAGATGTTTGGAAAGAAGTTTGATCTACATCCCACAGAAGGAAGAAAAATGTCATGATGTTTGGTCTTGCATTTGATTGAGAAACTGGTCAAACTCTCAGAGATACAGATCACGTTGAAAAACAGACCTAATTTCCTAAAGTTGGAAGAAAACATGAGAGACACCATCTTAAACCAAGAAGTCATTTTATTAGGGGAGAACCAGGAGACAGAGCAAGCTCTTCCAGCTGTCAGTCCATGCCATCACAGCACTGCTGGGGCAAGAAGGAGTGGAGACCTCAGGGAGAGACAAGCCTCTCCCTGTCTGGGAAGCAGAAGTGATGGCAGCATCCTGAGCAGGAGTGACAGATGGTATTTTTTCTGCAAAGTGGGTATGGGATTGTCTCACCACTGAATTCCCGAGCTGTGTTTCAGTGGGCTGCAGAGTTTAGTGCCATGCCTGGAGACAGGGAGCCAAAGAATCACAAGACTTAATTGCACCTTCAAGCACCTCCTGTCAGTGAAAGAAAGTTAATGTGAGAGTGACCAGACTGGAAGTGAGTTTTCTGCTCCTTGTGCTTATTTCCTTAGCAAAGACACATTACCTGATGAGCTGTGAGGCTCTTCTAATA